TGAAAAGACTGTCTCCCTCTCTTTCCCATTATATCCAGTCCTACTGCGTAAAGATTGGGTTGAGGTACGACACGTCCCTCACCGATTGGCTAGTTCCTCGCCTGAAGACGAACTTCTGCTACACGCCCTCGATTCGTATCTTGCCAAAGAAGTTGACTTCAGCCGTAGGGATGGAACCTTCAACGAAAAGGATTTATCTCCTGCAGTCAACGCTGCTCGCTGCATGAACTCCTGAAAACCTATTGTCTTAATTACCACAACTTCCTCTTTGCCAACCTATTTCCAACGGATGTTCCGCAAATTTGGGTTCAAATTAAGAGGCTTCAAATGGAATGCCAACACGAAGGATCGACGCAATGCACTACATTTACTTCATGAATTGTCCACTTGGCAATGAAGGAGAGACCACGAAACCCCTTCATTCAGATCAAAGAGAACTGGAATGGATTGTTTACTACCTCCAATAAACTCCAATAAAACTGGTCAAAATTCGAACAGGAAGTAATTTTAACACGAAACCTCAAGTCCAACTCAAGCAGAGCGGCTTGGCACTGCGGTGAAAAAGGGACTGAGACCAAAGCAGAAGAGACAAAAAAGAGACGTTTTCTGTGCTACTACTGACTCGAGGCGCGAGTCAAGTCTCATCGAGACAGTCAGTCATTTTAATCTTCCTCTTAACAAATGCAGTCCAGAGGTCCTTTCGCCGACCCACTGCCATGCGCGGTCGCATTCGAAACTCGTTTGCCTCAACTGCACTACTGTAGTGTGTGTTTCTATTCCTGTCCTAATGATTTCAAGTGGTTTGAGCAAACAGAACCATCTCTTTTTGTCCCAATTAATTTCGCGCAACAGATACGAAGGGCAGAGTGAAGAGGAGGGCAGTGAAGGGGAGACGGAGAGGAATGAAAAGACAGTTGAGAGCCATTAGATCAGTCAGTTGATTGGTCGATGTAAATGATGGAGGATGCTGTGTTGAGGGGACAATTAGTACGACTAAAATCATCGCAGGTGACGACTTTGACTGAATCACAATTTGAAGGAGATTAATAGGGATGTCAAAGTAAAGAAAATGTCATCTTACTTTTGGCCGAAAAATTCCAATTATAAATTGTTATCACCTTGGCTCTACTGCAAGTCGGTATTACTGAAAACTAGCCAATCTTCAACGCTGCCGATCGAACTGTCCGACTTTAATTGGAGGCCTCGAGGATCGGCACACCCCGTCTCATCCATACATGAGAAGTAGAGCACATTTTTTAGACCATTCCGAGGCAACACTTGCCCAATCACTCCCAATAACAAGTTGATGGGCAAAAGGCGGCTCTGCCTGTCAACTTCCAGCAAGTGGTGCTTTAGCTCGTGTTGACGTGCGTAAGTTCAGTATCACTTAATGGAGGAGTTTCCAACATTCTGTGAGTTGAACCGCCTCCTTGCCTCCTGTGACTTCGAGGCTTTGCTTGGTCACATAATGACTGTGTCGGTGTATCAGGGTGGCACGAATCGCAGTCAAATGGTGAATGGGACAGCACACATACGACCTCCTCGTGCCTACCGCGGTCAAAGCAAACCCGCAATAGGCGTGGAAATGATCGACTCAGGCTGTTCATCATCTAAGTACATAAAGTCTGCAATCTGTTCTACAAACTGTGATAGTTCCCACTAGTCACCAATAAAACCATTCACTTGACATTTAGCTTGGCGCAAGACAGACAGACAAGTGAAGAGTCGGTAAACTCAAAAAGGCGGGAGCTATGAAGTTACGTTGATTTAGTGCAAGCCATTCAATTGATGCTGTTTATCAAGTGCTCCTTAATCAGCCCTGGGTGGAAAGTTGACCTATCACTCTACTTTCGCCTTGTGGCACCACGCTCGAGCAGGTCAACTTGATGTGGATTGTCATGACCGTAGGAAAGACTGGTGGTATTGTAGGCAAAAATAAAAAACCGACTTTCTAATGAATAGATTTGACCTTGTAAAGCAAAATCAACGTCGAAATCCTCGCGCAAAGACTAAGCTCTTTCCTAATTTTTTAACTCTTTAGGTAAGTATAGTTATCGCAAATCAGAATGGTATTTGATTTGCCACAACAGGTAAGCAAGGCCGATGACTAGACTGCCACAGGTACCGACTTCTTTATCATTAAGCAGAGTCGAAGAGTTGCATTTCTAGGCCTTTGTGATACTTTATGATCTGAACGAGGCAAAAGCCTCGAGATCCTACCTTAATCACCAATGCAAGGTGCTTGAATTCGAAGGACTCGATGTTGAGACGTGTAACGATGGGACTGCCGCTTGCTGATTGGTCGACGGTGTTGCGTCTGGAGAGGCTGACGAGACTCCAAAGAAATCGAGGTCCTATGCGTCCAGTTGAGTCTTTTGGAGGTGGAGCAACACGAAAGAGTAGCTTGTAAATTATTGGATCGTCTCTAGAAGAGATAAATGTAAATGCTGTCAATTTTGTTGATTTTTTTTGGCTTTTGAGAAAAAGGTTTAGCCAGCCACAGTACCTCAGTACCGAGGCTTTGTTTGTTTGAGGACAGAAAGCCTTAAGGGCCATAACTCAGACCTTATTTTTTATAATTTCGCTGTTCTCACATCATCTTCCCAATTCGACCAATTTAACATTACACTTTAACGGGTATTTTAGAGCACTCGCATTTCAAGGCTTTGCTTTTATCACATAGAAAAACTACAGATGACTTTGAGTTAATTACGGA